ACGGAATCATCCCTTCAGCGAAAATAGCGAAAATAAATTCCAAGCGAAAATAAAGTATTCTACAGTATATGATGACTACTCTACTAAAATATCGTGTAATATTACCCTCAGTTATGCTAAGTATGAAAATATTGATCTCTCAGAACACATGCATTGATGTAATTTTTCCTTCTGTTTGATATGTTTACATTTTCCAGTTCAGTCATGGATATATATAGAATAACATAAGATAGATTTCTTATTTAGGGGTTGGTAGGGTAGGGGGGAGGGGATTTAATTAAAAAATTACAGAGAACAAAAATTAATATAAAAAAAAATTGATATTTATTACAAAATGTATGTACATGTTGGAGAAATAAAAATCTTTACAGCAACATATTTGAAAAAAAATAGATTAACTGTGACTGTGTTTACATGTAATAATATAAATAATAATATTAACAATAAATTTATTGCATCCCTAGAGATAATTTCCATTGGCTGGCAGCATGTGTTCAAGAGTCTGTAGGGAAGTGTACATTTCTTAAAAAAAAATTTCTCTCAGGAGTATCCATTTTTGCTTTCATTGGGTTTTTTCTTTTTGCATATTTAAAACTATTCTAAAAAGTATTGTTTTGTCTGCTGCAATTAACTCATGAGGTCAAAGGTCAGCCTATAATTATAAACCAATCGTATTGCCCGATTATTGGAAATCACATGATGTATGGGATGACTGATTACTGTCTATAGCATGGTTTCCAGGGACATCTCAAACACTCTTATGGCATCCTGACTCGTCCATTCAGTTGCTGCGTAACAAATATAGAAGGTGAAACTTGGGTACTTTAAGTCTAGACCAATTTCTGTTATTATTATCTAGCTAACTGTTTACCAAGTGTATTTATGCTCAACATATTTTATAGTTTGTTTTTGAAAACCGCGCCAGTTTAAATTGCTACTATAAAGTACATTTGTACACGTTCCTCACAATTAAAATATTTCAGTTTCGTCGTAAAATTTTCTTGAGCTGTTTGCATGAGCAAATTGAGACCTGTAGATCATTTTCTGTTGACTGCGAAATCCCACGTTATGCATGAAATCGAATGTAAAAACGGGATAAACAAAGGTCATAGCCTTGTAGTAACGTCAAAGCATCGCAACAGGATTTGATAGGAACGAAAGTATTTTGGAAGCATTTCCATCTGCTGTACACATTGTCAATTTTGATGAAGTACATGCATTAAGAATATCTCAACTCTTATTAGGGAGGTATTTGTTGTATTCAAGCCGTTACTTATCCTTTAAAGCAAGTTTGTATTTATTTTTTATTAGAAGGGTTAGAGACGTGATGAATATTGAACAGACAACATTGTCACAGTCAAAAAGTGGGGGAATTTTGGAGTATAGCATTTGTCATTCTTTATTTTGTTTTTTTTCTTTGGGGGGTGGGGGTAGACTTGGATTGTGTTCCCGTTTTGAACCTGAACATTCTCTTTGAATGTTCTCTTTGAATGTTATCTCTTTGAACTTGGGCTTTCTTAGAGTTTTAACCTTCTTACTTTTGAACTGTATACTGTACCATCAATATTTGTTAATGTAAGTTTTTAAAAAAAGAAATAAAAAATTTATAAAAAAAAAAGAATTTCTCAACACAATATTTCCTTCACGACGATCGACATTGTGCTATAAAAAAGAGAATTCAAAATCAAACAAGAGAACTGGTGATGGTTGTAGAACCATAACTGCCTCAGCTCAAAGACTGTTATGTAATACAAGGGAATGTGAAGGGGAATGTATTGTAGTGTTACCTCTGTGTAATTTACAATATATCTGCATTAACCTTCACTGTGAAGGACAATATGGGAGTTGACTTAAATGACTGGTAAAAGCAAGGCTGGTCAAATTCTGCGAAATAGTAGTTAGAATTTCCAGATACGCAATCGACACATTGTGGGATATCAAAATATGGATGATAAACAGCAAGTGATATTTCCAGAGATGTAGTTGGAATTGAAGCAAAGGAGTGGCCTATTAATCCATGAAACTTAAAAAAAAAGGGAATTCAAAATCAAATAATTTGCTTTCTACAGCAGATGTTTGGTCTGTTTTTCACGCGAGATCTTGCAGTGAATGAAAAATTATATTATCTTCTGTTACTGATGCATCTCACGTCACAAAATTTGCCAACTGGTACATGTACCAGTAGTCGGTATTTTCTTTTCCCATTCATCAGATATTCTTTGACTAATTGTGTTAAAATTAAATCAAGGAAGAACAATTTATTCAGTATGCATGCATGTCACATATACATGTATTCTATGAAGTCTGTTAATTTGTGGATACAATATTACCGACATGTTGCAAATGTTTCTCGGGAGACATTTAATATATGTATGTCTGTAGACTACTGGTAAATCTAATTACCTTGTTGACCTCTTATAGAAGGGTAATTGTAATTTCTTAGGAGGGATTCATTTATTTCCATTCATTTTAATCGTCTGATTGCTGCATGGTTCACAAATGACATCATAATATACACATTACGTCATTTGATTACTGTAAAATACTTTATTTTTGCTTGGAATTAATTTTTGCTATTTTCGCTGAAGGAATGAAAATAAAATCCAGCGAATATATATTTTTTCCTATATTTTACATTCAACTTGTCAGAATTCTATGAAAATAAATTCCACACAAAAGGCCGAAAAAGTCTTTTCAGCGAAAATTAATTCCGGCTAAAATAAAGTATTTTACAGTATTTATGACGATTTTTAAATTCGGCAACTGTTAGATCAGAGTTAAAAGTTCATTCATCCGAACGGTGAGCCAGTTTGCTTACTTTTTTAAAATGGCGCCCGGTGTCATTTGGTGTGTGTAATCACTGTCTCGTCATTTTAATAGAAAATTGACTTAGCGAAACATGGCGGTAAGTGACAAATGTAGAAGTACTGAATTTTAATATTCAACAATTAATTATTAAAGTTAGAAACTAGTTCATAATGCAATAAATGCAAATTAGGTTCCATATTAAAATGTACATGTATGAGAGAGTGAGTAATATGTAGTTTTAAATCTATATAAATGTAGGAAAATGTTTTGAGAATTATCATTGCCATTTCAAAACACTCAAGGAGTACAAAGAAAACGCCACTTCTACATGCATAAATCCTCCACAACACTCTTCGTTCATTTCATTTGAATTATCAATGCAGTTCAGTTCATGTATACTTGTACATGATGATTGTCACCATGTCTGTGCTGTCATGTAGACTTTCGTGGTGATTTTTTTTCTTCATTTTTTTTTTCTTTTATTAAATGGTGACTTATACCTATAGGCAGCCATACGACCTTGTTTTTTTATTAAATCACGTTTTTATTTCAAGAAAAAACAGCTTTTTAAAAAATAAAAAAAAATTGACAATTAACGGAAACCTCGGGAATGTGCACTTCGGCTAAGCCCCTCTGAGCCAAAACAATAACATTTGTAATTAGCTTAATCCCGCAAATAAACATCGCGTGTACGTTTCTGGTCAAATGACCGGATACACTCACTCGTTGCTGATAGTTCATCGCATCGCTTTTCTCTACTATATATTACTGTTCATTTATTTTGTTTTTACCAAGTTTATTTTGAAAAATAACATAGGGAAAAAATTGGAAAAAGAGTGTTCCATTGATAGGCAAAACCTGCAAATTTCGGAATAGCAAAAATCGTATTTTTTACTATGAAACACAGTCCCTCTACAAAATAAAGTCGGACGAGTCGACGACAGACAAGTCCAGTGAAAACCAAAGTGATATCTGCTCCACCGCACTGGAGACTGAAGACACCACCGTAACTACCTCGAATGCTGACACCACTATACTGTCACTGGAGGCTGACAACACAACATCAACATACAGGATGAGCATAATGTCGAAACGAAAAATATCGCCTGCGAAGTCTGCAGTATCTGGTAACGCTTGCGATGAAGTGAATAATACGAAGCTTGTCGACCTGGATATACTAATTTTGAATCTGGCTGACCACTGTAAATGTTCTCGGTGTAAAAAGGGAAAAATAAATATCCATGAAGAATCTCGTTATGGCTGGGAATCTCACTTTTAACCGGTGCACATGCGGCCTTTCGAACATAGCACATGCACGCGTATTGGCTAAGAATACGAGGTAGTCAAAAATAGACTAATCAGGTCCATTGTGTCATGTGGGACGGCAGACTGACTTTCAAATTTCAGTGACGCATCGGTGGTTTGTAGACAAAGCAGTTACACGTACATTCTTAGCTCTTGGAAATGAAAACTGTTTTGTGCTGGTAATAATTTTATAACAATCGTACTGCAAGTCGACAAAACTAAACTAAACGAAACTCCGATTGTAACGAGTTATAGAGCAAAAACGACGACCTGTAGTTCACGACAGTACTGTCGGCAAGCTTGACTGACTTGCTTCCAAGCGAATTCAGTCAGCAAATAGTAGGCCCTTTTTTACTTCAATTACGATTTTTAATTGATATTCAACAACAAAAGTGTCATTGCCGATATTTAGTAAAAAATAAAAAGCGTAGCTTTACCGAGTACTCGCATCTCATTGTGTAGTTCTGCTCTGATGGTATTTTCGCTTGGTTCAGGTGCCGTGGTTTACGAGAAAGTTGCGAGAAATAGCGTTAGACACGACAGTGTTCAAGTTTAACGGTCACATACCACGTATTTTTACCTTGCCCGTACCATCAAAGATGGAAGGGAAAGGTATATTAAGGAAAACATTTTGTCCCGGCGTTCTTGTCGTCGTTGACGTCGTCGTTAATAATTGTTATTGTGTGCATAATAACTTTACTAATTCTATTCCAAACTTTATCAAACTTGGTCACCTTATTCATCAGTATGAAGTCTTCCCTGAGTTTAAGCAACATATCTCTTGTATGAAAATATCATGCAAAAATTGAGAAAATCTGATAAAATATTTTGACTGTTTCTACTTGACTGATCACTGGTGATACACATCAAAGGTCACTGATCTCAGTGGAAATATGCATTGTTGTATGTGTTCAATGAAGCAAATGATTTATCTTGTAATAATATCCTTGGTACATGTGTAATGTATCTCAGAATCCCATACTGGGTTTCAAAACCAACTCATGGAGAGATTTTTTGCATAGTCTGATACACATTTGCAAACCTACCAATAAAATCTTTACAGAAAACAAGATGTCAGAAAATCATTATAAGCACTCCTCTGAATTGGGTGCCAAACTTTGATCAAGATCTGAAGCTAATAGAAAATCTGTTTAGTTCAAAGTTACCAAATCAAAAACAATACATAAAAAATACATAAAAAGCAAAACAATTCATCCCCATTTTAAAAAGAAAATTGTTCTAAAATATATGTATTCTGTATTTGACAAACAGTTCATTCGACAAATGAAATTATATGTTTCAGCTATTAGAACAGAATGATAGAGTTTTGATAATACTGGTTTAAAAACGCACTTCAAAGATTGCAGTGTTTGAAGATGTAGATTCTCAGGAGGCAACAGTACTGTTGACTTCTCCCTCCACTGGACACCAACTAACTATTTAAGTTGATTTGCATACAAAGCAGTGCTTGCAACATGATATCTATTCATAAAGGGTGTTTTTTTTTTACTTTTCATATAATACAGTAGTCACACAATGAGGCAGTTCATATTTGTCTCAGTGAATCATTAATTTTTGACAGACACCTGTACAAAATACTTGGACAAAAGCCAGCTAAGATGTTCTGTTATCTTGCATGTCTTATGAATCTATTCACGTCTGAATGCAGCACTTTTTTTTTTGCGATGAGGCATTTGTTTTTATACTAAAATATCTGAATTACTTTGAATAAAGCTGGAAATTATGTCCCTTAAAATAATTAAATAAATAAGGCACCAATGTTTTTGTAAGATATTTACATCTTTAAAGGACATTCGGTAGACTGATTCCCCACTGTTGGTTCAACCCCAAAACTTGTTTTTATTCAAAATTAATTATGAAAATGCATATTTATATTGAAACAAACTATGATAAAGGGAATTATATTGTTTATTTAGCAGTCACAGGACGTAATTAATGTTGACATTAGTGTTATCATAATTTTTGGATAGTGTTGCAAGGGTTACAATAACATGTAAAAATTGTTAGTCATTAATCATTATTATTATTTTTATCAAACTTTTTCTGTTTTGCCCAACGAAAGTCTACTACATCCTTACTGAATATCATTCTCTCAGTCAAAGTGAGAAGGAAAAAAAATCATAATTTTTTCTGAGCAGACAGGTGAAAATCAGTTCTCTATCCTACCGCTGTTGACACCACCTAAGGTTATTATCATTTCCATTTAACAACCCCATTGCATTGTGGGAAATTATTGCCTTTGCTATATGCTGTAAAATACTTGATTTTCGCTATTTTCGCTGAAGGAATAATTCAGTGAAAATAAAATCCAGCGAATTTACATACCTTTTTCCAATATTTTACATTCAACTTTTCAAAAATCAGTGAAAATAAATTCCATACAAAACATCATACAAAACATTTCAGCTAAAAATAATTCCATCTGGATTTAATCTGATTAGATAATTGTTTTTTAATCTTGATCTCTCCCAATTAATACAATAATCTCTAGCCTTTAGTAAAGGTCAACGAATTGTAATTCAAATTATCTGAATTCAATTGTATACCCTGGTATGTCAAATTACCATATTTGTTCTATTAGAAGCACATGTCCATTAGATGTATATAAACCAAATTTTCATTTATTGTATTAAGGATTATTACCTCTAATCCTGCCAGCCCTATATATACATGTATGTACATTGACTTGACCAGATAAAGGGAGTAAATGGGGCTTAATATGACCACAGACTTGGCTGTCATTTACGTAAGTTATGAATACATAAACATGAAAGCCATACACATTCAGGTTTTTGAGATTAGCGAAAATAAGAGCCATACACATTCAGGTTTTTGAGATGAGCAGAAATAAAAGCCATACACATTCAGGTTTTTGAGATTAGCGAAAATAAGAGCCATACACATTCAGGTTTTTGAGATGAGCAGAAATAAAAGCCATACACATTCAGGTTTTTGAGATGAACGAAAATAAGAGCCATACACATTCAGGTTTTTGAGATTAAAGAAAATAAGAGCCATACACATTCAGGTTTTTGAGATGAACGAAAATAAGAGCCATACACATTCAGGTTTTTAAGATGAACGAAAATAAGAGCCATACACATTCAGGTTTTCGAGATGAACGAAAATAAGAGCCATACACATTCAGGTTTTCGAGATGAACAGAAATAAAAGCCATACACATTCAGGTTTTTGAGATGAACGAAAATAAGAGCCATACACATTCAGGTTTTCGAGATGAATGAAAATAACTTCTATTACACTATAATGAATAGTACTGATCTATTCTGACCATACATGTAGATCTGTCATTTACATATTGTGTGTGTGCTATTCGTAGACAATCGTTTTCACGGTTTCATTGAAGCCTTCCATCAATGGTCTACATGCGTGTACCCATGCAAGATTGTGTTTCCAGGAAACGCTGTATTTGACCTCAGTTATATTGAATCATTTGATCCTGCATCTCAAAGAGCTGGATCCATTAATTGGCGTTCCTGTAACAATAAACAACTTCACTCAAATAACTCGCTTTTAAACCAATAGATTTTGGTTTCGTGTTTGATTTCCCATGGAAATGCATAACATCACATGTCTTCATGTTCTGAGCATGCACGGTTGGGTTTGATTTTGTCTACAGGGAAAAATGCCTCACCCAATCCTTCTACCACTTGCTTCCAACACATGCATGTACAAATACGCATACACGCACACGTGCACTTGCGTACATAAATACAATAAATGCATCAGAATATTAAAAAAATGATCATC